ATGGAGAGCATGGCTTAGCATGCATGTCAGCCTATGGAGAGCATGGCTTAGCATGCATGTCATCGTATGGAGAGCATGGCTTAGCATGCATGTCATCGTATGGAGAGCATGGCTAAATAGTTTGTATTGAAAAAAGCGGTGTTGTTAAAACCTGCTTGCTTACGAGAGCGAGATGCGACTGATGAAAGACGTTCATGACTGGTTCACATACCGAGTTTGACCTTGTAAAATGTCGGGTAAGGATCCTCAAACAAGCAGCCAGCGGTGGTCAWGACCCATCTTTTATTGATCAAAGTGCCACCACATTTATGTTGGTAATCACTGTTGTGTTTATTCARCTTAAGAATTTGCACTTGCCACGGCCAGAAACCAGCTTTACTTCCACCCACAATCCTTTGCCTGTTGCGGATACCGCAGCGCGGATCGTTAAGCATCGATGCTAAAGAAMAAAATATCATTTAGCCCTGCACGTCTTATAAAGGATAAAAGTCATCAACAGTAATGATAAAAACATGAGGTCTCTGGCGAAATTTTGAAAGGTGTAATGAATTTCTGCAAACAGATCTGGAATGAGTTTAAGCATCACGTTGACGGCAAACGGCTAACGGCAGAGCTGAACCAATGACCTAAGAATTTCGTGCCCGACCTTGTGCTTTTGGTAGTCATTTGAAAGAGCGGCTTTTCACGATTATGGCAACCTCAAAATAACCCGCTTTCGCGTTGAAACTGCAACGTTAAACTCAGAAAAAGCAGGTCACGTGATCTTTTCTGCCGTTTGGCGTTTGCYGTGAACGTCATGCTAAACCTCTATTACAATTTAGCGTTAACTTTTGCGTGGTAAGAACTTCTAAGTAAATGTCGGCAAGCTCGAAAAGTTTCCAGAGAAATATCAAACTATGTAAAACTATAGGTGCAGAAGACGAATTTATCAACACTAGATTACAAGTAATGTTTTTTTCTACACATTTGATGCTTATCAATAATAGTTAAATTTGATCTTGAAGTTTTGTGTTTGTATATTTTGGATGGATTCAAAAGCTGAATGGTAGTCTTGAATACTTTACTAAGGAAAACAGAATGAATTGTTACCTTCAGAGCCCAGGAACACGGCGAACAACGCAACGTATAACCAGTCTCCAAACATGTTCGTCAATCGGACACAAACTTTATGTGAACAATCTTTCCCTGGAATGTCTTTTAAGTCTTATTAGTTACAAATCAATTTCCTTTGAAAACAAACAATTCCATCTTATCCTGACGATTCATTTATCTCATGTTTCAAAATCTTGACATGTTTTCTCAGTAAATATTTGCTATTTTCAGTATATCTTGATTAAGTTTGGTTCTTGTTAGCTTTGAAATCAGAATACTCGTTGAAGTTGTCAATATTTATGCTGTTGCGTTAATCATTTCAAACAACCACAAAAAGTAGAAAAAAATTACAATGAATGTGCTAATATGAGATATTAACGTACAGTATGTATTCCAATATAAATAAATTGTCGCGCGGACTGGATAAGGATTTTAGTCTTTCCATTTGTCAGAATTTGTCAGTAGCCAGACCCAAAGACTGTAGGAYAATTCATCTTTCCTGTTCAGCCAGAATTTGTAAATGTCCTCCCTTATTACCTTTTATCATCGAAAACTCCGAAAAATCTTGACAAAAAAGATTATTCACAAATATATAAATAGACTGTTCTGGTCGGCCAGTTATGACTAAATGGAAAACGTCCTTGAAAAGATCCTTCACGAAACTCGAAATCCGTATCTACAAGCGACCATACAATACTCTTCTTACAATATTATGCATGAATGAAAATAACTTTTTAAAGCGGTACCATAGTTTTTGAAAGTGAGTTATTTCACGGATGTTAATCATTTATTGATAAATGCAATTATTCATATATTCTAGGTGATCATAAAATTTCCAGTTCAACGTAATGAAGGTCAACCTATGAAGACTCTTTAAAGATCTGTATATTAACGATTGAACGATCATGACTAAAGTCAAATAATGAAAACGTGTTTCAGGCGTATAGAAAACAGTCTTTTTTAATAGCAATAGTTGAACGTCATTCTATTATAATGCCTGCCAAATATCTCTAAAGGGGAGATGGACGAACAGTTGATTGATTGAGTTCAATTTGCAAATAATTTGCATAAGTGAGTTTTTCAAGAAGTATCAAAATTGCACGAGCCCTCCGSAACGAGAAATCGTATGATTACCCTTTAGTAATATAAATGAAAAAAAATAAGCAGTCAAAGACTGCATGTGGCTAGTGCCTTATACTTATAGCAGGATTTTTTTTTAATTAAATGCAGTATTTGTAGCGAAAATTGTTTGGTTTTGTCATTAATGAAGCCTTGTCATTGTGTCTCAATCTATATATATTTTTCTTAAAAGTTCGCAAATCCTTAAAAAAACACTTTCTGTAAATTGTGCATATAATTTTCAGCTCTTTTGAGCGTTTTAGCTACATTTAGAGCCATTTAAAAAGAGAATACTGTTTGCCGCCATCTGTCCGCCATTTTGTTCCAACTCACTAACGAGTGGAGAACCGAGTGGAAATACGAGCTTATCCCGAGAAAAACCGAATGGAATACGAGCTATTCCCGAATTACATTCACTCAGGGCGATGAAATTATGGCTAGCGCCTCTTAGGCACTAGCCACAAAAAATTGTGAGCGGGTGTGACGAAATATTGTAATCAATAGAGTGATTTAGCATGAAGATGCGGACGTCATCCAGGACGCCGCGWGCGGCCAAAGAGATTGGAACGAGAAGATTTTCCCGTGTCTTGTTGTCGAGAGCGCGCGTCCGCGACAATGGCAACTTCAAGTAAAAAGTGAGTATATTTCCAGTATTTTTTTTCTCAAATTCATTTTGGTGCATACATATTTACATTTAGAATAGAAATTATATAAAAAATAGCATKCTTCTTTTTTTTTCGCTTTTACGAGAGTGTAGCTTTCATTCGTGAGTCTTGTAGAGTCTTGTACGAAAATGTGTATTGTTGTTTTCAATGGTCTGTAATGAACTGGTCAGACGAGAAAGATATTGTTTTAATGAGGCAGATGGTTGGCACTGGTATTTTTGAGTTCAGAGCAGGAAGCAAGGACAGAGGGAAGACATGGCTAGAGATAGCTGAGAGTCTAAATACTGACGAGCGGTTTGTTGGTGCTCTGACGGCTAGGGGGGCACAAGATAGGTTTACACTAATTTCAAGAAGGCAGAAATCTAAAAACGTAGCACAGATCAAAAGTACTGGCGGTGCAGGGGAGGAGAGGACCCAATTCGACATACTTATTGAAKACCTTATTGAGCTAAACGAGGAAGCAGAGAAAAAGGTTCAAGATCAAACTGATAATCAAAAAGAAAAGGAAAAACAAGACAAAGAAAAAGGACTAGATATGAGGCAGAAGGCAATGGGACAGACAGACAGACCAGGAAAAGAACCAGTGAAGACAAAGACGATGTATTTGAAAGAATGAAAAGAAGAAGATCAAGAAGTGAAACCGTTACATGGCTAGATAAGAAAGCAGAACAGGATACGGAGTGGAGAAAGCTACTGGTTGAGGAGAGTAAGAGAGAGATAGGGATATGGCAAGGGAAGACAAGAGGCAAGAGTTGGAAATTCAGAGAAAACAGCTGGAAATGCAAATGAAAGCCCAACAAGACCAGCAAGCTCAGCAATCTATGGTGATACAGAAGATGATGGCGATGATGCAACAACAACAGCAACAACTACAGGCCATGTTTCTCTCAAGACCTGGTTCAGGCAACTGAACTGAATTACATGTAACATGTAAGCTCCAAAACTGCTATTTATGTGTTTTAAAGGACACGGGTCAAAAACCGCTGCGCAGGCGCGAAATTTTGTGATTGCTTCGAAATCAAAATGGCGGACGACGAGCAACAAAAAGACGGAGCGATTCAGAGCTGTAAATCTCTTCATTTGGGTCAAATTTCGCCGATCAGATGAGCTAATATCAAAATTTATTGACCAGTTTGGGTATCCATGAGCTTTGGARAGGTTTCAGCATATAGGTGGTAACAAAAAATGAATTTGAAGTAGACTAAAAAATAAACCGTATCGATCAGAAGTTGTCAGAAACACCGGCACGTTTTGGACTGAATTAAGGTCAGGGCAACAAAAATAAGGTTGACATTTCGCCATAACGTTCATTATGAATAATTGCAAAAAATATCAGGTGAGGTATTTTTTAAAGAATGTGGACTTCAGAAATTTGTGTTTTTTAATCAAATTTTGACAGCTCAAAAGAGCTGCTCTCTCTTATCTCCTCATAAATCCTCTTCTTTCTAWAGTCTATGCACACGACGAAGTCGCATTACATTATAAGGTGCATTCAAAGAGCAAAATCAATCATTTGTTTGTCAATAAATATTGTACATACACAAAAAACGTCTAGTTTATGTCTGTACTGTAAAACTGCTTGCATTTTTCCCGCCATTCGCCCCCTACGTTTTCCCGCGCTTGTGCGACGCGGCCGTGTCTTACAACTAAGGGCATGTAAGGGGTTTTCTCGGATCTACCTAAATATAGCTAGCCAATGGAAAAATCATGAAAGTCTTTTCTTTTTGTGCAGCTTTCAGTGYCTTGACCTGAAATGTCATGACTGATAAGTTTTACTGCGAGAAATCGGGAAAAGCTCTAAGAAGCTTGAATAATTCTCGAACATTTCATTTTTTTCTGAGTTGCAAGCTAGGTCTTTGGGTTTTTCGTCTCCTGTGTATTTKTGTACACATCACTATTTTGAATCCAAGCGACATGAAGACTGCTGCTTTCCACTTCCTGGGCCGTGTTCTCAGAGACTAGTGGACTGCGCAACTCGATTATTTGCAGTTTTCAACTCGATAAATCCAACGAAAATAAGTACAAAACTTTGTACACTTCACGCTGAAGATKYGGACAAACTACCGTTTATAACTAGCCATCACCATTAGAAATGCCCAAAACAAGAAAGGTAGGGCCTGTAAAATTGAATGAAATGATGGCTATTTGTAAACTGAAGGAAAACCAAATTTGTTGCATTAATTTTTTATTTTAAGAGATCAAATTGTGACAGTCAACAGACAAGTTCTCCACTTAGTGAAGCGAAGTTAAGAATAATTGCTCTTGAAAACGAAAATGCAAGTTTGACATCAAAGGTTCATGAGCTAGAGGAAGAAAATTCAAAACTTTGCAATGATCTWAAAGGTATTAATGACAAGACATATTTCATGCAGTTCTATCAAAAAATTAGCTAAAACCTAGAAATACTATAAAATAGTGCAAATTTGCTACTAAGATTTTTTACTAAACTGATAGAGGACAAAAAGCATAAGAATGCAACATACATTTATACTAAATTTTCACTAAACTTTAATATAGTTACTTCCTATGGGAAACCCTATGTCAAGTCATARGGCGAACAACTTTTCAGCAGTGCATCCCCTACAATAATTGGTATGGGAGTATTGTAAATTTAGTCATGATAATCATTCCAGAACACAGGGACTTTGAAGTTTTAGTGAAAAAATTCCAAAAGGCACTGACAAACCGGAAAAAATCAGAAGAAGATCTATTCAATCCTGACAACATGAAAGCCTTCTGTCACACCCATGCACCAGGGCTATTTGAGCTTATCCTAAAAACYATAAGCAACAATGACAGAGTCCAGTTGACAGAGTCCAGAACCAAAAGACAAGAAGTGCGGGTTGTTTCTCTAGAGTCATCACACTTGTACCGTGAAATATGATCAAAATAAAGAGTAAATATTAGTGTCTATTTATTGACTAATAGTAGATATTATTACTGAACCGAACACAGTTCATGAAAACAAAAGGCAATACACAGGAGACTTGACAACTGTCATCTTTATTTCATGTACAATCAAGACAAAAGACACATCTAAAGCTAAAATAACCAMACAGTACGCAAGGAAACGCGTTTCAGGAATCTTTATTTATTTGCGCTGCTGTGGAATCAAGACACAAGACACATCTAAAGCTAAAATAACCACAAAAGACGCAATAAAACGCGTTTTAAGGCTAAATTGTAAACCCAGCACGCAAATGAACGTGTTATCTAACGAGTTTATTATAAGAGCCTAACCTAAAAAWMAAGASAAGACGCACTGAAATGACCCGCAAAAATCTATAAAAGCAACGTGGT